CTTTATATTCATTTTATTTATTTCATCCATTTTTTTTCAAATAAGGAGCCTGATTCCAGATGTAAACCTAATAACTACAATTACTTATTTCTTGAAAACCTATTCCTGACAATGCCTTGGAACTTGGGAAAATGCAGAATTTAGGTTTCTTCTATAATAGAAAATCCTTACATGCTTTTTAATGAAGTATCCAGATTATGGCTTAAATTATTAAAATAGAAAAACTCTCTAGAAATTTGAGTTGATAGTTTATTATTATATTAAACAAACCATGAAAGTGTACATTGATATTTTGTTTGTTTGTTTGTTTGCTTTTTTCGAGACAGGGTTTCTCTGTGGCTTTGGAGCCTGTCCTGGAACTAGCTCTTGTAGACCAGGCTGGTCTCGAACTCACAGAGATCCGCCTGCCTCTGCCTCCCAAGTGCTGGGATTAAAGGCGTACGCCACCACCGCCCGGCCATGAAAACATAAATGGAAAGTGTATGTCAGTATGATGTGAGAGAGTTGGGTGAAATATTTGAAAGTCAACTTATTTTTTTTTCTGTAGTAGACTTGTCTAATAAGAATGCAGTGGATCTTCTTTTATAGTGGAAAGGATTATTGTCCTGTTTTTGTCCCATGTTGTGCAAGCATATTAGACGACACATGGAAGACAGAGATGACAAGAAATCACTTCACAAAACACATTAGAGGTCTCAAAGCGTTGAATTCATTTGATGAATTTTTCAAGAGCTGGCTGCTTTTTAAAGAAATTTATATCAGGGTGTTTGATTAGCTATTAAAGAGTTGAGTTTTGACAGATTTTCAACCAAAAGGACAAGACCCAAGTGATCTGGTGGGTTTTTAAAGCTGATTAGAAGTAAGACACCAAAGATCATACCCTCCTTATCTTTGATAATTTGTTTCATTTAGGGCCGTTGAAAATTTAAATCCATGCATGTTCACACTGGATAACAGAAGAATGACAACAGCTATTTTTTATTTAACCAAAGGATACTCTAAGGATTTCTAAGTTCAATATCTAGTATTTAGCTTCCAAAGTTTAGTAACATATGTATTTCATATCAGTTTGTGAATGATACCATGTAAGGGTGATTTATATAGACATTAGACCGCTGACAGAGTCACAGTGGAGCGAAAAGATAGCAACGCGAATTGCCAGGGGAAGGGGAAAGAAACGAAGGGGTGAAAACCACAAACTCCAATGAAAAAATACATATGAACAGCAAAGGGGCATGATGTCACATCAGAATGTTTGAGGTCAACTGGAAGGAGATGAGTCTCCTGACTTCTAGAAGACAGAGCTAATGTATGGCCCATCAGTGGAGAGCACACACTGCTCTGGCAGAGGACTAATTTATATCTTTTAAGAGAAATGAAGCAGTTGAATATAGGGTGGGAGCTATGATTTACTTGACAAGTGAGTAGCAAGAGACGGCCTAAGTGATCATAAACAACAACTGCCAACAGCATAGAAGGGAAAGCGGTCGCCGTAAAAGCTGGGCCGTCTCCATGCACATTCAAATTACCAAATCTATGTTGGAAAGTGTCACGACTGTGCATTCCGGATCATTTGAATATGTATCATGATACAAGTCTCTCAACATGTAATCATTCCTTATAATATCCATATTAGAAAAATGTAGAGCGCAATAAAAGTCAATAAAAAATCCATTAGAAATGTATAACATTTAGTCTGCATTTTAGAAATATAAAATTTGGAATATAAAGTAATACAAAACTGATATTTAATGTTATGTCCTAGCCATGTTTCTTTAGATTTCTTTTCAAAACTATATAACTTCCAAAATACTGCTGTAAGACAAGCTTGGTATGCAAATTGGTAAATCCATATGTTAATTGTCATACCATATGGAGACAATGTTAGTTCTAGCATAACTAATAGGAAGACCAGACATATAATAACTATGAAAGTAAAACAAAAGGTGATGGTGTTTTTCTGACATATATTAATAGGAGATACTGGATTAGAAAGGTAAAAAAAATCTGAAAAAAATCGCATTTTGCTGCTAATGGATAGTTACTTATTTTAAGACATTGACATTTAAGAAATGAAACAACTTTCAATTCAGTTACAGGCTGAGTCTAATTTTTCACATAAATTCTAGACCTCAGGCTAAACACATGACTTCAGAAAGTCCGTCAAGAGTTCCCGATTAACTCTGTGTCACTGGGATGTCAAACTGCATGAGAGGTCAGGGAAATCCTTCTGAGTTGGAAACTGCTTGGAGCCATTTTCCCGAACCTCGGGAAATTACTGCTTTTATAGGTGACAGGGATGCCAGGTGGGCTTAAATGTTTAGAATCGGGGTTAACGAATGTCAGCAAAAATAGCATCAGGCAGATAATACATCTCATAGCCAAAGGATTATTAAAAGTGCTCACACGGCATGCGAGGGCACATCTAATCCCTCAAACCGCAGTCTTCCTGATGCTGAAGCTGAGACCAGCTTTCTCGTGTGCCTGTTACAGGGCGAATTGCTGACGGTTCTCGTCTTAGCCAAGTTCAGTGGCCTATTAGCCACTTCTGTAATTGCCCTGTAGAGCACTCTGGGAAAATCCTATCTCATTAAATATGTCAAGCTCTCATTCTTTGAAAGGAAAATTATAATATATTACAATGTACTCTGCAGATGAATGGATTCATCACTAGGTAAATGTATGCTGTTCTTCCTTTGGTCTTTGGAGCTGCAGATTGAGCTGGAGCCTTGCATATGCCGTAAATCCCCTTCCACTGAGCTACTCCATGGCCCCTAAATGTTTACATTTAGGTCATGTGTAGCTGGGTTTTCAGAAAATGAACAAAGAGGATAGGCAGACAGTCAGAGAAATAAATAGGATTTATAAAATGAGGACACTCTTTCATAAATGTACATGTTAGACAGCAGGTTTACCAGGAATTCTGTTTCATTTCTAGGCTCTTTATTTAAACTTGTTTAACTTAAATTTTCTCCTGATGATGTAGGACATATCTATAGCTAAGAAAACATTGGTAAATTTTCTTTAAGACCTAGTAAAAACCTGAAAGATATTTTGTGTGCTTTAAACTAGGTACATGAAAAGGTCTATTAAACAAATATCTGTCATATCTATCATGGGACTCATTGTATTATCAAATATCAATAACAGAAGTTGGTGTCATAGTTTCCTTATAGAGTGAAATTCAATTAATATTTTATCTCATAGGCTATGTTGCTTTTTGGTTCATTGATTCAATCAACACAAATTAAAGCAACTATTATGCACCATGTAGATATTATAGGTATACAGACTAATGAGACCTTATAGGTTAGAATAAAGTCTGTACTACAAATCTGATACTAGTCAAACTCTAGAGATTTTAATTAAGCATAGCTGTTTACAAAAATGTCCAAACAATGTAGGTATTGTTTTCAGATCTTCTCAAATAAAAGTCGTCAGTCTAGACTACAATCAAGGATCTGAAATTCTCAGGCCAAAACCTTTTATGCTACACAGAAACAAGTTTTTCTTAGAATCCATGAGTGCTTTGATGTGAATAGCTGGATCAATAGGAAGTTACTCTTACTGACATTTAGCCATCATAGTCAGATGTTTCCTTCCAGATTTCTGCAGAAGCAGGAGAATGATGTCTGGTTTGTTCATGTCTTCCTTTCTGCCGTCTTGGCATCTATCTCCATATTTTATCCATATGAATAGCTAAAACTCATAAAATAGTGTAAATCTCAATTGACTTGCACACTATTTACATAACTTTAAGTGTCAAATAAATTCTTTCGCTGAAAAGTCTAGATATTTCAAAAACCTTAATTATTTAAGAAACTTTGTGATTAAAAAGTTTAATTATATTTGTATGTACTTGTTAATTTCTTTGTGTTTGTGTATGTATGCATACATATGGGTGGGCATTTGCCATGGCACATGCGTAGATAGAAGTCAGATTACAATTGTACCAGTCAGTTCTTTGCATCTACATAGTGAGTCCCAGGGATTGAGGTGGTTAGCGTTGGCAAAAAGTGTCTTTATCCAAAGGACCATCTCAAAAAGAAAAAAAAAAAAGACAAAAAGAAAAAAAAAGAATGAAATTACTTCCAAGTTTTAAAAAAGGCAAAACCTACAAGAATTTTACTTAATTTATAGAATTTTGAAAATAATCTCTTGTAGGTTAGTTAGCAAATTCTAATTGGAAACATGAAGTTGCCATATTTTAAGGATATTAGTTTTAGTGGTGAATTCTTCTGTGATATTTAATTAGGAGGCTACATTTGTATATTTGAAGTATTTTTCTTCATTCTAATCTCAAAAGGAATACATAGAGTACACTAAGCAATTCTGTTACATATTCACCTGGCCCTCAGTCCTGATTTTATTTTTTTAAATATAAACCTTCTGAGCCAGTGATTAGACACACTTTTGATTCTATCTACAGCATATTATCTGCTTCTTGCTCCCTAGAGTTCACAACATTTTCTGATTATAACTTTTTCCCGCAATTCCATTATGAATTTCTTAATGTTATTCAAAATAAATCACCCTCCCTGTATTTTAGAGTAGAAAACACTCTCTCCTATTTGAAGTCAAAGCCTTCATTGTTTTAAAACATTTACAGTTTTATGAGTGGGCAGTCTAGTGCCAGATGGTAAGACCCGAAAACATATGTTCAACGAACAGTATACGGATTGACCAGGCTATCTTTAGGAATATGTATGTACAATGTGAAAAAGAGGCCAAGAATTTGAAGGAGAATAGAGAGAGGTATATGGAAGGTTTGGAGGAAAGAAAGGCAAAGGAGAATTGTAATTATAGTAAGCTCAAAAATAAAATTAAAAAATGAAAATTAGTAATAGGATGGTTTTAATAGCCAAATGAATTTCCTGATAAATAGAAAAATGGATGCTTCTAATCATTGGCTACTAACATGAGGCTTTTTTAGTTGTTTGAGGCATTCAAAACTTGGAAAAGAACCTTACCAATCAAGTCATTCTCCCTTTCCTTTACAGAGATTTGTCTGCTGACCAAGGGCCGGCGCACTGCCAGTGTTCGAGCGGATACATACTGCCGTCTTTACTCCCTTTCGGTGGACAATTTCAATGAGGTCTTGGAGGAATATCCAATGATGAGAAGAGCTTTTGAGACAGTGGCTATTGACCGACTCGATCGGATAGGTACTCTTAACTTTCACCTTTCCTCAAGCACAATTTCATTTTAGTTTCGAATTCTAACGCATAGATCCCTTGTTAATTCCTGTGGGGAAAAAGCATACAGCTGTATTTGATATACAGGGTCAAAAATACTAAGAATACTGTATATCAAAACCAGTATCAGTTGTTTACAAAGACCTGAGGTCGTTTCTGCTCCTCTAAGTGCCCTGGATTGATTTGTTCATGTCTGTTTTCACTAGCTATGCAATCTGATAGCCCAACTTCAGTTTGAATCATCAGGTAAAAAGCACTGGTACAAATTCCAGATAGCATTAAAATAGTATTAAAAGTCAATACCATGAGTCTCTATTACATTCTAAATTTTCCCATAATGTTCTTTTTATCTTCAGGGGCCAGTTTTACATTTTATACTTATATGAAAAATTGAAAACTTACACAATTAAACTGGTCTCAGCCGAAACATCAAAATGTTTGTAATACAGACTCAAACAGAATAAGCCTTTTCTGGACATATCTTACATAGATGTTTACATTGCAAACATCAATGTTGTGAACTACTTTAGGCTACAAAACAAAAATATGTTAAATAGAACTTATTAGTTATGCTAAAGATTTGCGTAGTTTCTCCCAGCCAAGTAGAACCACGTTGTCTTGCTGTGAAATTCATTAGCTAGCCTTGAATATGCTGAGAAGATAGTCTGAGTTCTTTCTTCAAGCTGTAACCCTTTTGTAATCTTTCCTTCCCCCTCTTACTTTGAGTAGTTCTGCCCTAGATTCATAATCCAGCTTAACTACTCTTCCCTGTAGAAACCTTTCCTGGCTTCTCTCCACATACCAGGAAGAATTGCCTTAATATAGTCTCAGATAGTCTCCTATGTTCCATGTCACAGCACTGCCTTTGTTATACTAACTGTTCTTAAAAAATACTAAACTTTATGAAATTTTATGAATGGAGAAAGCATCTTGAACTCACCATTATATTTGCAATATCTGGTCCACAATGCATGTATGTTGAAGAGGGAGGGAAGGAGGAGGGAATAAATACTCCTGAAGCAGAGGGAGTTGGGGAAAGTTAAAAGTAAAGAAAAGGTGTCACTAGATCTTCATTCTTAAAAAGGTAAGGTCTTCCTTTTTTATGATAGCCTCTCACTCCTCTTTCCCTATATATAGCACAGAGAGTAAGATTTTAAGGGTCAAAAACAGGTGAGGTAAAGTAAAAGGACTGTGTGGACAGTATCACAGGGCACAACAACCGTAACAGAAGTTCATATGGATAACTTTGTTAATTCACCGGGCTTAGTCATCCAGGGAGATGGCACCCTTGCAATAAGTAGACATTCCTAAGAGCTGTATTTAAAGACAACCTCAATTTGCTATGTTAGTGTTCATGTTAGACACAGAGACTAACTTCTTAGTATTTTTGACCCTGTATATCAAAACCAGTATCAGATTCAGCAACCTGGGTCTGATCTGAGGGATTGCCTTTCTACGGGAACCCAGATGATTCAAAGGAAGTCAATTAGTCACCGGAAGCAAGGGTTCACAGTCAGAGTTCCTTCCTTTTTCACAGCCTCTTCCCTCTCCAACTCAGACTTCTAAGCAACCATCTTAACCTTCCCATGCCATAAATGCGATGAAGACAAGTGCTTCCCAATCTGGACCCTTGCGTAAATGGTTCTATCTAAAGCCTTTCGTTGATGGTGTGTCCCAGAGCAAATGTCCCAATGTGGCCACTATTTTCCCATTGCCTCGCTTTGTAGACACAACTCAAAATTAAAATAATGGTTCAACTCCTCAAATTTTGCTCCTGTTAAACTTGGACATTTCTTCTAGGAAGCATCTTTCCTTTTGCCATCATTAGTCTTTACTACTTCCCCATTTCTAAGCAGATGCAACACTGTTCACGAGGCAGACGTTTCACTTCTGTTTGGCGATGACAGGTTAAGTTCTCGACTTCTAAACCCGTGGGTCCTAACGCTGACATACATCACCCTGGAGTAGCCAGTCTCTGGTGGCATTTTTAGTTCCTTTCAGTCTGTCTAAGTGCCTATTTTTCCTTTGCTGATAGGCAAGAAAAACTCCATTCTTCTTCAGAAGTTCCAGAAGGATCTGAACACTGGTGTTTTCAACAATCAGGAGAATGAGATCCTCAAGCAGATTGTGAAACACGACAGAGAGATGGTCCAGGCTATCCCTCCGATCAACTACCCTCAGATGACCGCCCTGAACTGCACATCGTCAACCACCACCCCAACCTCCCGCATGCGGACACAGTCTCCTCCCGTCTATACTGCGACCAGCCTGTCTCACAGCAACCTGCACTCGCCCAGCCCCAGCACACAGACGCCCCAACCCTCGGCCATCCTCTCGCCCTGCTCCTACACCACAGCAGTCTGCAGTCCTCCTGTACAGAGCCCCCTGGCCACACGAACTTTCCATTATGCCTCTCCCACCGCCTCCCAGCTGTCGCTCATGCAGCAGCCTCAGCAGCTACAGCAGTCTCCGGCACCGCAGACTCAGCCGCCGCCGCCACCCCAGCAACAGCAGCAACAGCAACAACAGCCACAGACACCTGGGAGCTCCACCCCGAAAAATGAAGTGCACAAGAGCACGCAGGCACTTCATAACACCAACCTAACCAGAGAAGTCAGGCCCCTCTCGGCTTCGCAGCCCTCGCTGCCACATGAGGTGTCCACTATGATCTCCAGACCTCATCCCACTGTGGGCGAGTCCTTGGCCTCCATCCCTCAGCCCGTGGCAGCTGTCCACAGCACAGGCCTTCAGGCAGGGGGCAGGAGCACAGTGCCACAACGTGTCACCTTGTTCCGACAGATGTCCTCGGGAGCCATTCCCCCTAACCGAGGAGTGCCTCCGGCACCCCCACCACCAGCAGCTGTGCAGAGAGAATCTCCCTCAGTCTTAAACACAGACCCAGATACAGAAAAACCACGTTTTGCTTCAAATTTATGATTCTTGCTGATTGTCAAAACAGAAAAGAAATACTCTAGGAAACAGAATATTCCCAGATATTATTTTATTCTATCTCATGATAGAGCCCTATAGCCTACTCTGAAAAGATATTTTAGACAGCTCTGGCCTACATGCAAATGTAAAAAAAACATATATACATATACAATTAAATATATATCACTATATATAAATGCCCAAGAGAAGTTCTAAAGACTTGTATAGCATTCAGTGTTACATGTCTTCCTTTCTTTAAATCCATTAAAGGATTAAACACGTTGTTGTAAGATCATTGATTTCTAACGTACTCTTACTTAATTCCTTTGATATGTGTATTCCTCTCTTTTATGAAGAGTTCTTGGGGTCGATGGCATCAAAACTCGAGTTTTAAAAAGGCAACTCCAATTAGTTCCAAAGCAGCACCAATCAACATTTTCTTTCGTTAGCTGTGCCTCTGCATCCAAATTATTGATTATGCGGGATGAAAATAACCAAATCCCAGGTTATAGCTCTAAAGTGTATTTTGGTGCTTTCAATTTTGAGTTAGGTGAACAAACACACACCCCACCATGCTCAGCCACCACAGGAGACAAAACATTGCCACTGCGAAGGTTTTCTCTGACCTCAAACGTGGTCATTGATTCGGCAGGAAGGGTGAGGAGGTAGTTGTCCTCATGTGTTATTGGACTTTTACCAAGACTCAGTCAACGTTAGTTGTAAATAACTTTCCAACCCAAGTAAAAGTAACTACCTGTGTTGTGTAGAGGTAAAAGTCACTCACTGTTTAGAATTCAGTTTTATGGCTTCACTTCAAAACTGAAGAGTTTTAAATTTCACAAAACCGAATAATTGTGACAATTGTTCAACTGTAATGCAATGGCTTCAGACCTACAATATTATTTTAACCTGCAATAATATTTTATGCAAAATTGTATGCTTGGATCTACAAATTGCTTGTATTACACCAAAAATTATTACTTTTCTTCCTTATTGACATAATCAAGCATCTGAAACTAGTCCTGGCATGCTTTGGGGGGCAAAAAAATAAAAAGTAGATTCCAATCAGTAATTGTAAGAAAAGGCTTACAGTATTTCTCACTTCTAGAGGATATAACAATTCCTTAATTGTGTCTTTTAAAATTCTTAAAAGGCTGACTTGGATCTCTGACTTAAATCTAGAAGTGAGGTTTTTCACTTTAATTTAATATTATCGCTGTTACTATCATTTAAACAATTATTTGCAAATCACAGCTTGGTTTGGAGTTAACTATGTTCTGTGTCTTCATGTTAGTTGGTAGTTTACTGTGATATTAATGTGAAGAAATAAATATAATATATCATCACATCTGTTTGGACATGCACATTTGCCCTCTGTATATTGTAACTAAGCCGTTAGTAAATCTTAAGGCATGTGGAAACCAACATAGTCCTTAGACAGACAGGAGGTTTGTTCTTTCAAATGTGCTGGACATAGTGTGACTGCGGCGACAGGAAGCAGGGGTGAAGTTGATCTGTCTGTAAGCATTGTTTGTTTGTTCCTTTGTTTCCTTAATTCTTTCCGTGAGCATCAGCCTCTTAGAGAGCACGTGGGCTTGCTGCATCCCACACATGTGGAGGATTTTTAATGTCTGACTTCTGTAAATAACTCAAGAGTGTGACCTGAAGTGGAGGTCTTTAGAAGCACAGGCATGGATGGTCCACTTAAGAACTTAAAATCCAGACATTCTGATGGCACAGGGCCTCTAGATAGACTTGAGGACCGGAAACTAAAGCAGAAGCAATGGCTATAAAGTGGATCCATTTTTGCCTGTTATGCCTTTTATGGATCTAACCCCTATAAAACCAAAAAGAGTTGTTATGATTAATTGCTAACAGATCCTAATTTGTGTGGAAACAATGTACAATGCTAGGCAATGTAATGTTATTCATTACTGACATGGTGATGGCAAATGACAGCCTGTTGGGAATGATGTAAAAGAGATCTCTTAGCCTACCTAGAATCTATGGAAAAGTTACAAGACCATTTATGTATCAGTACAAAACTCCTCTATTTTATTAAAAGATAAAGATTAGCATCAATATATTAAGATCATGCACTAGTCCTTTAAATTATTAAAGGCCTACATTTGACAGAATTAATGGGTTTGTTAGTAATATATTTTTTATACATAAAACTTTTTGAGCACCATGGGAAACATCAACAAGACTAAACTGCATGATCATTCAGTGGAACCATAAAATTTTTATTCATTTTGTACTAGAATGGACAAAGAAGTCTAAGGTTTATATGCTAAGCTAACAAAATGGTACAGGGTAAATTAAATATACATATGTACGAATGTGTATTTATATACACATATTTAGATTAAGGAGAAAGTGATTCACATTCCTGTAATATAAAGGTACAGTGCTAGGTGAACATGACCTTTTTTTTCTCTGTACATATAAGCTCAAGTTTGGAGTTTTAATCTGTACAGAAAGAACTGTACTATTGATCTTTTGCTGCTGAGAAGATGAAGAAAATGCTAATCTTGCCATTGTATGACCAGGGAAGAGTTAGAATATGTCTTTTGTCTTTGCTCAAAGCCATACATATAAATATACATAAAGATTATTAATAAATCCAACAAAAATAAACTAAAATTATGAATATTTTATTTTATTGCTATACTCTAATCAAATGTTTCTCTTTGTTGATGAATATAGATTTGCCTATCTTTCTGTCTTTGTATAATTTCCAAAGACTTGTTCTTGAAAATCACCATACAATTCTTTATAGATATTCTACAAATATAGAATGAAAATAACTTAAATAGAACATGGATTTCCCAGTCATCTCTTTGTTTTACCTTTTTCATATAGTAAAAATTTATTTTATTTTTTACCCCATGCCTCTTTAATATATTGTGTTTGTCCAGTTTTAAATCACAGCCATGTTTATATATTGGCTATAGGGATGATTTTTAATTTATGTACATGACATGTTTTCTTTGGACTTTTCAAATGCCTCAGATGAGGTTTATGACAATGAGGGTAAATACTGAAGTATTCTGAAACACAATGAGGATAAAATTGTGTTTTGCAATTTACTATAATCCTCAAACACACAGCCTGCCTCCAGGTCTCTATGACCTCCCCATGTGGAAATGATTACCAAGTGAATGTCATTCCACTTTTCAAAAATGGCTATTCTAGCATTTACAGACTTAAATGAACATGGTATTTTCAGGAAACAATCGAGTTGTTTGAGTAATTTCTACAGGACATGAACAATTTAAGCAATATGATGAGTTTAAACTTTTAGATATATTATATTAAAACTGTAGTTCCTTATGTTTTAAAGTACAAACCATGTCTCATAGTCTTTCAGGATTATTATGCAAAAATGTCTCCATCTATGCTTTATTGACTAGAGGTTTTTATTTGGTAATATTACTGTAATTGCTCCTTTGGACCTTACTTTACATATTTTTATAATATTAAACTACATGACCCACATTTTTCCGACTTCTATCTCGAGCACTATCATTGACACATGTCAATGAAAGTGTGGGATGCGTCATTCTTGCTGCTGTTATTATTTATATTCAGTGACCCTAACAGAGATTTACTATGTGCTAGGTTAGTCTACCTAAAAGTATATCAGCCTGTGCCATGAGAAAAATTCATTCCTAGAATACAGTCAGGTACTGAGCTATACTGAATCTTGAATAGTCAATAAAAAAATAGCCATGAAATATACAGTTGAATGTGTACCGAATTATATGTCAGTTCTTTCAAATTTGTCAAAACAGTTCCCAAAATATTTTCAAAATCATGTTGGAGGTTTTCTTTCAAAGATGTTTTTATTGATTTTAGGGTTTTTTTATGCTTGCGGTGGTCACTTGAAAATCGTGACTTTTTGAAGCAGCTTTATTTCAGGTATAACACATAACACATTGTTATTATTGAATGTTTTTTAAAAAGACAAATGATTGAGTTGATCATAAAAAGCAACTTTGTTCTCAAAAGTAATTCATGAACTATACAATTATTGCCTGACTACAGAAAAGATTCAGATTCTTACAAGTCGGTCTTCCCTCTCCCATTTTGAAGTTTTGAGTAATGACTCTAATGAGCATTGCTTTGCTTCCCTGGAGCAATTGAAATCATCATGGATGGGTCATTCTGACCTTGGTAAAATTCTTAACTCAAAGATATAAGAAGTATATACATCCCCATGCAGGAGAAAATATCCTGGTGAAGTAGCAAATCCATCACTACAAAAGATCACTTCGTTCTAACTCAAAGGACAATTTTTGAAACTTGATTTCATTACACTTTGTTCAGTTCTCATAATGAAATGCATCACTTCCATTTTTCCATATTAAAACAATCGCTCTGACACAAGGTGATAAAGAACAGACACAATTTTCCAAGAAAATCTGGAATAAAGGTGATATGAGTGACATATTTGTTCCCTGTATAATTTTTGATGTTCCAGATGACTTAATTAAAAAGACAAATGATGTTTTATAAAATCAAAATTAATGTGACAACCATGACCCATTCTTAATTAAGACAGTACCCAACCGCACTCTTAAGTGACCATGCCTCTCTCATCTCACCGCAACCTCACCCTTGTTTCCTTAGCTAAGGGTAGTTGAGTAGTAACAATGAAGACTTGAAAGCTTTTGTTGAAAGAAACCTTGCCAGTTTTTGCCCCTGGCCCATCATGAGACTCGTTTAAAGATAATAGTAAAAGAAAGTATATACAAGTCTTTGAATTCATTTCCAGGACATTTGATACAGAAAGAATGATAGTAAAAAGAATAAATTCTGAAGACAGCATCTTCATATAGTAATCAATGAAACTTGCTTCTAAAATGTGAATGTTTAACAGAACACTGGCTATTGGCAATACTCACATCTCACCGAAGCTTGACTGTGTCATGGACTAAAGAAAACAAATGGTAAAATAGGATTTAAATCCATTTTTATTATCAAGCCAAGAGTTTTATAATTTTATGCTTTAATCTTAATTTTTTAGAGCAATCAAAGGATATATGGTCAAATTTGTGCTTTGCTATTGTGAAAAGAAATAAAATTAATTTGTGGCAGAGCAAGAACTAAGGCTATTTGTTACCTCATGCTACTTGTGAGGCTGCTAGATCTGAAGGAAGAATGAAATGAAATGAAATAAAATGAAGAAATTGCCAGCTTTGCGTATTAAAAACAGTCGAGTGAGAAGAGCAAAGGCATGAAGAACCACAAATCAAAAGGAGTTATCATATACACATATCATATCATAGAAATGATTCAGAATCAAATGAAGCTAGCGTCCCAGAAGGGATTGGTGGTAGCCTGTTTCACAGACTGACAAATGCAGACATTCTTTGGGGATACCTTATTCTTAGTGTAGCATAATTCACCATTCTACCCAATGAGAACTAGCTCTTTATTATTCCATAATTACAGTCATTTTTTTATCATTAGAGTAGACCGTGTTTTTTTTTCCCAGTGGACACATCAACAAAAATCAGCAATACAGCAGTTCTTCAGAAGTAAGGTTCATTTATGTTTCTATTAGATTTATTAAAAATGACTTGTAATTACTTATATTTCTAAGCAGAAATGACAGGTTTTGACAAAACAGAAGTTAAAATTTTATCAGATTAAGTGTTGGTGTCTACAAAGAAAATTGAGATTTTTAGAGACATTTTCTTAAAACATATTTTAGTTTCCATTTAAACTGTGGCAAACCCCTCTAAAACAGGAGACACAGTTTAGAAAGAAGTAATCACGTAACTCATTAGAGAGATCAAAAATCAATTTGCTCAATGTATAGTATCATTTTATTTTGACAATATGTGGTGAGGGTCTTTGTTTCTCAGTAATAGTTCTTAGAAATAAAAATTGCCTGCCTAACACTGTTAAGATATATTATCAAAGTCTTACCCAAAATTCTATTGACAACAAGCAGTTCTGAATGCCTGAAGGTATGAATTTCTGATATGTAGCATGAAGTATTGAGCTTGAGTAATATTAAACAGCATTTCATAAACAAAATGTTCACATAGACAAAGTAGTATATGTCTTCCATATACCTCTATTACAAAGATCCAAAGTATATTAACCATATTGGCTCACAGACAAAAGTGTGGAAAAGTGCAAGCAACAGTATTTATCTGACTAATCATCATAAAATGGGGGACATATCCCCAAACAACATAAATCAAAATCTGCTTGACCTCCCAATCAAAAACAGCCTTCACGATCAGTGCCAAATTAATATAAGTATTCAAAACAGTGATTTATGTCTTCACGGCAACAGCAATTTCATTTTGGAAGTTAGCCAATATTAATTTCAAGCCACAAGTTTTTCAAACTGATACATGATCACATTAGTGCCACTATTTATGATAAAAAGCAAATTGTGATTCATTTGGGGTATAGCTCATAACTGTCCCTAAAGTTCTAGCAATAAAGGTCTAGCGATGATCTGACAGCATCGACAAATACAGCTTCTCAGAGTCTGCTTATGCACAATTAAAACACCGTGGTATTTTCATTAAAATGCTTAATAACCTTGCAGCTTAAAATAGAAAATATCAAAAAATAGTTTTAGATTCTTAGAGGCATAAAGGACCTGTGTTTATTTTGCACATCTTTTTTAATGGGATGGATGCTTACCTAGGACACTCTGTGTTTCTATGAGTAAATGGTATTGACATTTAATTCTTTTTTTTGTTGTTGTTTTTTTTCGAGACAGGGTTTCTCTGTGGCTTTGGAGCCTGTCCTGGAACTAGCTCTGTAGACCAGGCTGGTCTCGAACTCACAGAGATCCGCCTGCCTCTGCCTCCCGAGTGCTGGGATTAAAGGCGTGCGCCACCATCGCCCGGCTGACATTTAATTCTTAAAGAAATTCTTTACATTGATATAAAGTGATAAAGTGAGCTATATCTTTATATCAGCCTTTGTCGAAAGCACATAGGTAAAAACGTGTTACAAGGTTTTGTCGTTCTCTACACTAAGTATGAATGCTGGCCCGTTTTATGATTGCCTGTATCACAGTATTTGAAACTAGACTGAACTTCTGTTATGATGACAAAGATTTTTTTTTCAACATGGGGTTTTTTATGAACAAAAGAAGGGAAGGGGTGGAGGGATGGATGGATGGATGGATGGATGGATGGATGGATGGATGGAAGGAGGGAGGGAAGAAATTTGACTTAACAATATTACATTTTTTTAGTCATTTATTTACAGAGAACTAACTTCCCCATATACCTGAATGTTAGCTGGATGAGGAAAAAAAGCACATTGGCAATCTTGCCATTGCCAGAAAGCTTCTCAAGTACTAGAAATGCTGGGAGCTTTGCAAATGGACATTCATGCATGTTCCAGAAAAATTCTGGGTGTTATTTCAGGATAGTCTTTATTTCCTTTTGGTCAGTGGTTTCTCAACCTGTGGGTTGTGACCCCTTTGAGGGTCAGATGACTCTTTCACAGGGGTCATCTGAGACCATTGGAAATCACAGATGTTTACATTATGATTTATAACAGTAACGAAATTAGTCATGAAATAGCAATGAACATAATCATAAGGGTGGGATGCAGCACAACAAAAGAAACTGTATTAACCAGTCACAACATTTGCAAGATTGAGAACAACTGTTTCAGGTGATAAAATACTATAATCATTCAACTGACTTCAGTTGGTATGTCTCCCCAACAGTTTATATCTATCAAATCTTAACCAGCTTAGAAAATCTATCTAAAGGATTTCCTACCTATCAGCTTCATATACCATATTTCAGAAAACATGTATTTCTGTGATAACAAAAAATGGAGTCTCTGGCAAGAAAAGTTTTGATATTTTAATTACACTAACCCTTGTAATTTTGAATCCATTATGTATTGTGAATCCATTATAAGCTTTGAAGGCTTATTATGGAACAAGTATACTATGTCTATAGAGAATTTATAAGCATGCCATTTGTCCTTTATTTTAATATGAGAATAGGAAGACAGAGGGACTAGCCAATAACTAGAAATAGAAAAAAAAAGGCTGCATACTTCAGTTCTTAACCTGGTTTTTTACTGTGTAATTGCAGTTAATGTTCTTCTAGCCTGGCCAAGAATTGATATGCAACTCATAAACAATGTCTACAGGCCTCAGGTTCCAAAGTAAAGAAATTTAGAGCACAGGAAATAAAAACTGCAAAAAGCCATCCAATTCCAGTGGATGTAAGAAAAAATGACACAGATGAA